CCTGCTTCACCCTGTTCTGCGACAATCAATCGGCAATTCGCATAGCCAACAAGAATGGCTTCGCGAATAGAACGAAGCACATTGCCCTGCGATACTTCTTCGTGAAGGACGAGATCGAGAAGGGGAGACTCGAGCTGTCATACTGCCCCACGTCCGAGATGGCAGCTGACTACTTGACCAAGAAGCTCTGCAAGCAGAAGTTCGAATACTGCATGCTGCTGACTGGACAGAGCCACGTCACCAGCAGCGACACTCCAGAAGCGAAGGGGAGTGTTGGAAACAATTGATTTAAAGCGCTTCCGTTGTGGCGAAACACTAAGTCACAAGCGAAGCAAAGCATATCGAAGCACCGGCGAGTCAACCCTCGGAGGTTGAAGTAACCGCTGGAGGTTACGCGAAAGTCTAAGGTTGGCGACCTTTGACCTGACTAGTACCCGTCATACCCCGGATAGAAGCGCCCCTGGGGTTATAAAAAAACACTGTTTTTTAGGGGGTGGGCTTATAATTGAGGATTTTTATAAGCGCCGGGGCTTATATAATGACATATATGAAATCTAGGTTTTTTTACACCAAAGTGTTCATGTCGTCCTTGCGATTTGAATCGAATCGATATTGTAGAGGGCAATGAATGTGAATTTCGCGTGAATTGGCAGTGGCTGATTCCATGCCAACACACACAGTCAGAATGAGTCAGATTGACCCCATGACAGCTCATTCTGACTGGACGCGAAGGCATTGAGTCGCGCGAGGGTGAAGGGATTCGAAATTCTGAATGTGGGAATGCAAGGTTGTGTTTCGTTACAGCGTTTCTAGTAAAGTTATAAAACCGAAATATAAAATAGTGAACCCCGACCCAGCTTGAAAAGTTGTTGCGAAGAGGGAAAGAGATCGGGCCGATGCAAAACTGCTCCAAAAACTCAAGTGTTCAGAATGGAATGATGTGATTGGCTGTTTCCAAAAATTGGCTCCCGCCAAAACAATGTCAGCTGTCGCATGTTTACGTGCTTCACCCGTACGATCGTTCGCTGCGACGGTTTGAGTGGCCAGGCCCAACATCATTTTCAAGCTGGAACTGGGTGACATGACTCTGTTTTATACTTCCCTTGTCACCTGTTACTGCCAAGCTAAGAAAAGTTGAAATCCTAGTCGTTAGTCTCATAGGCGTGCAAATAATGACTTTGCTCGGGTGCGTTATGTAGTAAGACGTGATCTAGTACCGTAAATAGGTTTCGCCTGTCGCGCGCAATCATCTATCGCTTCGTCGTCGTCGTCCGCACACGCTTCTTCGCCTAGTCGCCATCCATGGCGTCACCCACCGTGTCAAAAGAGTAAGCATAAGCAGGAGCCATAGCTAGGGTTGACCTAGCTAGGCATGAGAGAATGAAGGCAAAAGAGGAGGTTCACTAGCAGCAATGAGGATACATATAGCAAACCCTAGATGGGTTGTACTCGCTATAGAGCACCCCACTACAGGCTAGAGAATAACATTCTGACACACCCCCATAGCCAAAGTGGGGTGTAATCAGTACAATGAGCAAGCAGGTAGAAAGCAGGTTCACAAGTGCAAGCAAAGCTAGAGGCATTCACAAAGGGCAAGTGAGGAGGAGGAGGAACTGTGGAAGGAGAGAAGATGAGAGGCGACGGCTGAAGCTGCAGACACACGGGCAACAGGAGTCAAACTGGCACAGTGGCTACCGGAACAGCGCCCCGGACTACAGGAGTAACTGGCTCCGCGGCTAAGAAGAGCGGCAGACGAGCAACGGACCCACGGGCGACTGGCGCAGCTGGCTACGACTGGGCTACCGGAACAGCGCCCCGGACTACAGGTGCTGCTGACGACAAGACGGCAGCCTCCGCTCAACCTCCCCCGACCGTCCCACGCCCCTCTCACACACCCCCTGCTGACACCCTAGCTCCACTTCCACGGCACCCCCCTTAAACCCTAAACCTCGGCTCCCACACATCCACCCCCCTCAGCGGCAGCTGCAGCAGTGGGAGACGGAGGAGGAGGAGGAGCAGGGGACGGCGCACACACACGGCACCCCCAGAGCTGCCACCCCCACACTCCGCACCCCAAAACCCTAAAAACGGGCGGAACGGGGGAAGGAGCGCGGGGGACGGCGAGGGGGACGGCGCTCGGCCCCCAGAACGCGACCACGGGGCAGAGAGGGGCCGCGCGCGGCTCCCCAGGGCGGCGCGACGGGAAATCGGGGCCGCGGGGGGGTCGCGCGCGGCTCCCCAGGGCGGCACGACGGGAAATCGGGGCCGCGGGGGGTCGCGCGCGGCTCCCCAGGGCGGCACGACGGGAAATCGGGGCCGCGGGGGGTCGCGCGCGGCTCCCCAGGGCGGCACGACGGGAAATCGGGGCCGCGGGGGGTCGCGCGCGGCTCCCCAGGGCGGCACGACGGGAAAACGGGGCCGCGGGGGGTCGCGTGCGGCTCCCCAGGGCGACGGGATCGCGGGGCCGCGGGCGACGGGACCGGAGGGCCGCGGGCGACGGGATCGGGGGGCCGCGGGCGTCCCCCACGGTAGGAAACCGCCGTGCGCCTCGGTGCGCACGGCGGGGAGAAAACCGCCGCACGCCCCGAGCGCGCGGCGGGATGAAAATGTGAAGGTCGCGCGCCACGGGGCGCGCGACACTGAGTAGGGCAGCGGAAGCAGCAGTGGGGCCCACAGGCCAGGAGCGTGAACGCTCTGTTACCATGTCAAAATCCCAGCCACTAACCACTGGGATAAAAGGGCTTGTTTGTGTAGCGGGTGAGTGCGCCCATAACCCCCCAGGCCGCCATGCCTGTAACCCTTCCCTATGATCAATCGGGGATCACCAGTGGACCTCTGACACCCCCCCGCACTGGGATGCCCGAGGTGCACACACCGGGATTCGAACCCGAGACCTTCGCTCTGATACCATGTCAGAATCCCAGCCACTAACCACTGGGATAAAAGGGCTTGTTTGTGTAGCGGGTGAGTGCGCCCATAACCCCCCAGGCCGACGTGCCTGTAACCCTTCCCTAGGATCATCGGGGATCTCCAGTGGACCTCTGACACCCCCCCGCACTGGGATGCCCGAAGTGCACACACCGGGAATCGAACCCGAGACCTTCGCTCTGATACCATGTCAAAAGAGTAAGCATAAGCAGGAGCCATAGCTAGGGTTGACCTAGCTAGGCATGAGAGAATGAAGGCAAAAGAGGAGGTTCACTAGCAGCAATGAGGATACATATAGCAAACCCTAGATGGGTTGTACTCGCTATAGAGCACCCCACTACAGGCTAGAGAATAACATTCTGACACACCGTGCCTCCCCTACCAACTTTCCACTCGTCGTTATCGCGCTATGTTACAAGCAGCTTCTCCATTCGAAATGTCGAATTCCTGCTGCGCGTCGCCTCGCTATTTCCCCTCGCTGCCCGTCAGCTCGCAACCCCCCCTCGCTGCGCGTCGCTGCGCTATGTCCCCTCGCTGCACGTCGCTGCGCTATGTCCCCGCGCTGCCCGTCATTTCGATAGCTCTCCGTGCTTCTAGTCGCCTCGCCATACAGTCATTATTTCTCTCTCCCCTGTAGTTCGCCTCCTCTCCCCTCCCATCACGTCGTTCCTCCTCTCTCCCCTCCTATCCCGTCGCTATTCCACTCACATCCCATCCCGTTGTTCCTCCATTCTCCCCTCCCATCACGTCGAATCTGCTCTCTCCCCTCCCAACACGTCGTCCCTCCTCTCTCCTCTCCTATCCCGTCGCTATTCCACTCTCCCCTCCCATCCCGTTGTTCCTCTACTCTCCCCTCCCATCCCGTCATATCACCTTATGACAGCTTTTTGTTTTTTCCCCGTTACTCCCTATTTTTTCCCCTCTCTTATCATCAAGTCCAAGGAAACGCTTATATGCGTGTGCGCTGGATTTTACCTGTTTTGTTGCATGATGTGCGTTCTGGTGAACTTACGATGACTACTTGGGTGCATACAGTCATGGCAATCTTGCGCCAAATTCGCACACAAGTATGTGTGGGTTGTGTGTTAGTTTCGCTGCCAATCAGAATCGTACACATGTTCCAAGTGTTTCCAGTTCACAAAGAAACTCGTCTGGGGTGAAAAAATAAATGTGCACAGCACTTCCAACTTTCCGAAGAGTTCCAAAAAAAACTTATCTTTTCAAGTGGACCCAATTGGAAGGGGGGGTCACTATTTTAGCTGCTGGCTTTAATAAGAAAACATTACAAAGGGTGGCGCTTATAATCCGTAAGCCTTCAGGGGTGCGCTTATAATCGAGGACCGGATATAAGCGCCCTCATCCTTTTATAAGCGCCAGCGCTAATCATAGGAATGCGCTTCTATTCGGGGCCTTACGGTACAGTGCGACAGCAAGGACACACAACTGACTCGTTACAGAGCAGTTGCCCGAGTCGTCACTGTATCGAACCGCAACAACAACAATAAAACAGTTATAGCAGTATCCTTTCATATTCCTTGTATTCTTATATAATCTTGTATCTCTTTGCTTTAAAGCCAGCAGCTAAAATAGTGACCCCCCCCCTTCTAGTTGGGTCCACTTGAAAGTTGAAGTACTGTTGTGTATTTTTTTTTTCAGCCCCATATGATAGTGATCGAGTCTCCAAATTTCTTCTCAAACAAAAAACGTCGCAAGCATGTGCAAATGCGTCGCTTGAAATTTTGCGACGTGCGAATCTCAATTACATTTATCAGTGCCATATTCACATCGTGAAGCATGTCCAACTCATGCAAAGCAAGTCCAATTTGTGCAAAGCAAGTCCAACTCACGCAAAGCAAGTCCAATTCGTGCAAAGCAAGTCCAACTCACGCAAAGCAAGTCCAACTCACGCAAAGCAAAGGCCTTAGACATGGGTCTGCTAGGGCGGCAATAACAACATTTGAAAAACAAGAGGCGTATAACAGAGACGAGACAAGGTGTCTCGAGAAGAGACAAATAGCGCAATATGAGCGCGGACGCTAGAGGAGAGATGCGTCGGAAAAATCCGCGGAATGCTAGATAGCAAGGACGACGGGAAGGGAGGGGAGAGAACGAGGGTGACGGAAAGGGAGGGGGGAGAGCGAGGGCGACGGAAAGGGAGGGGAGAGAACGAGGGCGACGGAAAGGGATGGGAGAGAACGAGGGCGACGGAAAGGGATGGGAGAGAGCGAGGGCGGCGGAAAGGGAGGGGAGAGAGCGAGGGCGACGGAAAGGGATGGGAGAGAACGAGGGGGACGGAAAGGGAGGGGAGAGAACGAGGGCGACGGAAAGGGAGGGGAGAGAGCGAGGGCGACGGAAAGGGAGGGGAGAGAACGAGGGGGACGGAAAGGGAGGGGAGAGAACGAGGGCGACGGGAAGGGAGGGGAGAGAGCAAGGGCGACGGAAAGGGAGGGGAGAGAACGAGGGCGACGAAGGGATGGGAGAGAGCGAGGGCGACGGAAAGGGAGGGGAGAGAACGAGGGCGACGGAAAGGGATGGGAGAGAACGAGGGCGACGGAAAGGGATGGGAGAGAACGAGGGCGACGGAAAGGGATGGGAGAGAACGAGGGGGACGGAAAGGGAGGGGAGAGAACGAGGGCGACGGAAAGGGATGGGAGAGAACGAGGGGGACGGAAAGGGAGGGGAGAGAACGAGGGCAACGGAAAGGGATGGGAGAGAGCGAGGGCGACGGAAAGGGAGGGGAGAGAGCGAGGGCGACGGAAAGGGAGGGGAGAGAGCGAGGGCGACGGAAAGGGAGGGGAGAGAGCGAGGGCGACGGAAAGGGAGGGGAGAGAACGAGGGCGACGGAAAGGGAGTGGAGAGAACGAGGGCAACGGAAAGGGAGGGGAGAGAACGAGGGCGACGGAAAGGGAGGGGAGAGAACGAGGGCGACGGAAAGGGAGGGGAGAGAACGAGGGCACGGGATCGAGGACCTGAAGAGGGATCGACGGGAGGGGAGGGAAGAGAATAGGAACGACGCGAGGGGAGGTAATAATTCACGAAAGGCGGGACGGAGGGTGACGGGAGTGCGTTGGGAACGCGATCGCGATGAGACACGAGGGCGACGGGACGCGGCGAGAGAGATTCAGGGCGACGGGATAGCAAACTGGCGAGGGGAGTGAGGAAGGGCAAGGAGAGAGGAAGGGCTGTGGGAGAGGAATGGCGACGGGATGTGAGAGGAGATCGCGAGGGCGATTGCGACGGTATGGGCAACGGGTGGGCGATTTTAGGCGTGCGTGACGGCGACGAAGTGGGTGATAAGAGGGGGAGGAAGGGCGACGGAAGGGCGATTCAATATGAGCGCGAGAGCAACGCGGGTTTCACTTGCGAGAGACGAGAAAAATATTGACTATACAGAGCCACGTTTACTACATTACGCACGCGAGCTAACTCGGATCTTACGTGCCTTGGCCAGAAACATCTACGCTTTCTCAGCTTTACTACTAATGCTAGTGACTTCGGGACTCAACTAGTCATCCACCCAGTCCCAACTTGAATTGGAAGTTGGGCCTGGCGATGGAAACCATCGCTGGGCAACGGTCGTGTGGGTGCAGCGTGTAAAAATGCGATGATTGACATGGGCTTGGAAAATCGTTTTGGCGGGAGGAGAAATTTCCAGATTTGTTTGAGCCAATCAGATGAGCTCAACCTGCCTACTCGGTTTGTTTGGAACAGTGCTGTGTCAACCTAACTCATCACAGCGATTTCAAGCTGGGACGGCCTTCACTATTTTATATTTAGGTTTTAATTAACTTACTTTGCCCTCACATACCAGCGCAAGGTGGTTCAACAATTCTCACTAAGAAACGCTTCCGCTATTACATTGTTCCTACCAGAGTTTAGTCCTGCAAAGATCCTCTAAGGGCTTTTCTCAGCCCAACACTGTGTTCTGCCCATGACATGAGTGAGTAACCATCACCCTAGACAACTGGTGGCACTGCTGTTGCCTGGCCCTGCAAACCATTGCACTGCCGCTGGGCATGTCAGGTGGGCACAGAACAGAGGGTCACTACTGAGAATTCTCAAACGTACAGAGGGTCCATCTTGACAGCACTGCTCCAGCAGCTGCTCTGCCAGAGGGCCACTACTGAGAATTCTCAGAAGTACAGAGGGTCTATCTTGACTGCACTGCTCTGCTCTGACTGTACAGAGGGTCACTATCTAACCAGCAGCTCTGCCCCGCTCCACATTGCAGCAGCACCACATAGAGGCTTCCCTCGATAAAAGAGTGCGCTTTAGGGTATTTCCAACGGTGGGAAAGGAAAGGACAAGCAGCTTTTCGCTGCTCGATACTGCAGGCAGCAGCAGGAGAAGGCAGTATCGAATCGACTGCTGCAGACACGAGGTGAGGAATCTGCTGCAGACATGAGGTGAGGAATCTGCTGCGAAGTTGGGCTTCCACTCTCCACTCTCCTGTCCCATCGCCCACTCTCCGCGCCGATGACCCACTCCCCATGACCCACTCCCCATGACCCACTCCCCATGACCCACTCCCCATGACCCACTCCCCATGACCCACTCCCCATGACCCACTCCCCATGACCCACTCCCCATGACCCACTCCCCATGACCCACTCCCCATGACCCACTCCCCATGACCCACTCCCCATGACCCACTCCCCATGACCCACTCCCCATGACCCACTCCCCATGACCCACTCCCCATGACCCACTCCCCATGACCCACTCCCCATGACCCACTCCCCATGACCCACTCCCCATGACCCACTCCCCATGACCCACTCCCCATGACCCACTCCCCATGACCCACTCCCCATGACCCGCTCCCCATGACCCACTCCCCATGACCCACTCCCCATGACCCACTCCCCATGACCCACTCCCCATGACCCACTCCCCATGACCCACTCCCCATGACCCGCTCCCCATGACCCACTCCCCATGACCCACTCCCCATGACCCGCTCCCCATGACCCACTCCCCATGACCCACTCCCCATGACCCACTCCCCATGACCCACTCCCCATGACCCACTCCCCATGACCCACTCCCCATGACCCACTCCCCATGACCCACTCCCCATGACCCACTCCCCATGACCCACTCCCCATGACCCACTCCCCATGACCCACTCCCCATGACCCACTCCCCATGACCCACTCCCCATGACCCACTCCCCATGACCCACTCCCCATGACCCACTCCCCATGACCCACTCCCCATGACCCACTCCCCATGACCCACTCCCCATGACCCACTCCCCATGACCCACTCCCCATGACCCACTCCCCATGACCCACTCCCCATGACCCACTCCCCATGACCCACTCCCCATGACCCACTCCCCATGACCCACTCCCCATGACCCACTCCCCATGACCCACTCCCCATGACCCACTCCCCATGACCCACTCCCCATGACCCACTCCCCATGACCCACTCCCCATGACCCACTCCCCATGACCCACTCCCCATGACCCACTCCCCATGACCCACTCCCCATGACCCACTCCCCATGACCCACTCCCCATGACCCACTCCCCATGACCCACTCCCCATGACCCACTCCCCATGACCCACTCCCCATGACCCACTCCCCATGACCCACTCCCCATGACCCACTCCCCATGACCCACTCCCCATGACCCACTCCCCATGACCCACTCCCCATGACCCACTCCCCATGACCCACTCCCCATGACCCACTCCCCATGACCCACTCCCCATGACCCACTCCCCATGACCCGCTCCCCATGACCCACTCCCCATGACCCACTCCCCATGACCCACTCCCCATGACCCACTCCCCATGACCCACTCCCCATGACCCACTCCCCATGACCCGCTCCCCATGACCCACTCCCCATGACCCACTCCCCATGACCCGCTCCCCATGACCCACTCCCCATGACCCACTCCCCATGACCCACTCCCCATGACCCACTCCCCATGACCCACTCCCCATGACCCACTCCCCATGACCCACTCCCCATGACCCACTCCCCATGACCCACTCCCCATGACCCACTCCCCATGACCCACTCCCCATGACCCACTCCCCATGACCCACTCCCCATGACCCACTCCCCATGACCCACTCCCCATGACCCACTCCCCATGACCCACTCCCCATGACCCACTCCCCATGACCCACTCCCCATGACCCACTCCCCATGACCCACTCCCCATGACCCACTCCCCATGACCCACTCCCCATGACCCACTCCCCATGACCCACTCCCCATGACCCACTCCCCATGACCCACTCCCCATGACCCACTCCCCATGACCCACTCCCCATGACCCACTCCCCATGACCCACTCCCCATGACCCACTCCCCATGACCCACTCCCCATGACCCACTCCCCATGACCCACTCCCCATGACCCACTCCCCATGACCCACTCCCCATGACCCACTCCCCATGACCCACTCCCCATGACCCACTCCCCATGACCCACTCCCCATGACCCACTCCCCATGACCCACTCCCCATGACCCACTCCCCATGACCCACTCCCCATGACCCACTCCCCATGACCCACTCCCCATGACCCACTCCCCATGACCCACTCCCCATGACCCACTCCCCATGACCCACTCCCCATGACCCACTCCCCATGACCCACTCCCCATGACCCACTCCCCATGACCCACTCCCCATGACCCACTCCCCATGACCCACTCCCCATGACCCACTCCCCATGACCCACTCCCCATGACCCACTCCCCATGACCCACTCCCCATGACCCACTCCCCATGACCCACTCCCCATGACCCACTCCCCATGACCCACTCCCCATGACCCACTCCCCATGACCCACTCCCCATGACCCACTCCCCATGACCCACTCCCCATGACCCACTCCCCATGACCCACTCCCCATGACCCACTCCCCATGACCCACTCCCCATGACCCACTCCCCATGACCCACTCCCCATGACCCACTCCCCATGACCCACTCCCCATGACCCACTCCCCATGACCCACTCCCCATGACCCACTCCCCATGACCCACTCCCCATGACCCACTCCCCATGACCCACTCCCCATGACCCACTCCCCATGACCCACTCCCCATGACCCACTCCCCATGACCCACTCCCCATGACCCACTCCCCATGACCCACTCCCCATGACCCACTCCCCATGACCCACTCCCCATGACCCACTCCCCATGACCCACTCCCCATGACCCACTCCCCATGACCCACTCCCCATGACCCACTCCCCATGACCCACTCCCCATGACCCACTCCCCATGACCCACTCCCCATGACCCACTCCCCATGACCCACTCCCCATGACCCACTCCCCATGACCCACTCCCCATGACCCACTCCCCATGACCCACTCCCCATGACCCACTCCCCATGACCCACTCCCCATGACCCACTCCCCATGACCCACTCCCCATGACCCACTCCCCATGACCCACTCCCCATGACCCACTCCCCATGACCCACTCCCCATGACCCACTCCCCATGACCCACTCCCCATGACCCACTCCCCATGACCCACTCCCCATGACCCACTCCCCATGACCCACTCCCCATGACCCACTCCCCATGACCCACTCCCCATGACCCACTCCCCATGACCCACTCCCCATGACCCACTCCCCATGACCCACTCCCCATGACCCACTCCCCATGACCCACTCCCCATGACCCACTCCCCATGACCCACTCCCCATGACCCACTCCCCATGACCCACTCCCCATGACCCACTCCCCATGACCCACTCCCCATGACCCACTCCCCATGACCCACTCCCCATGACCCACTCCCCATGACCCACTCCCCATGACCCACTCCCCATGACCCACTCCCCATGACCCACTCCCCATGACCCACTCCCCATGACCCACTCCCCATGACCCACTCCCCATGACCCACTCCCCATGACCCACTCCCCATGACCCACTCCCCATGACCCACTCCCCATGACCCACTCCCCATGACCCACTCCCCATGACCCACTCCCCATGACCCACTCCCCATGACCCACTCCCCATGACCCACTCCCCATGACCCACTCCCCATGACCCACTCCCCATGACCCACTCCCCATGACCCACTCCCCATGACCCGCTCCCCATGACCCACTCCCCATGACCCGCTCCCCATGACCCGCTCCCCATGACCCGCTCCCCATGACCCGCTCCCACCCACTCCCACCCACTCCGCCAGCCTTCTGCCCCTTCAAGATCCGAGCCTGCTGCTGCTCCGGAGTCAGGCTCAATGCCGAGCCTAGGCTGCTGTCGGTATGGTGCACAGGCATGGGTTGCAGCATGCCCATTGGCCGAGGCGGGAAGGCCCCTCCTGCTGCCATGTCCCCTGCTCCTGCTGCTGCTGCTGAGGCGAAATCGGTAGTCATTTCCAACTGGTCCCTCTCCTGCTGTTCTATCTGCATTGAAGGGGGAGGAAAAGGTAGATAGAGGGGAGAAGGGAGGAGGTGAGAAAGGGGAGGAAGGCTCCTGCTGCTGCCATGTCCCCTACTCCTGCTGCTGCGGCTGAGGCGAAATCAGTTGTCATTTCGAGCTGATCCCTCCCCTGCTGCTCTATCTGCAGAGGAGGGGAGAGGTGGATGGAGGGGGAGAGAGGGGAGGGGTGGGAGGAGTGTGGGGATAGAAGTAGAAACAGTGGGGATCACAGGTTGAAGCATACTCCCCCATACTCCCCCATACTCCCCCATACTCCCCCATACTCCCCCATACTCCCCCATACTCCCCCATACTCCCCCATACTCCCCCACACTCCCCAATACTCCCCAATATTCTTTCTTCAAAACCCCTACCAGTTGGTACACGGACGATTCCCCCGGTTTGGGCGGCAGTGCTGCTGCTCTCAGCTCGGCTGCTCGCCGCTCTGCCTGGTGTAACAAAAGGGGTATGCGGAGGGGGAAGTGAAGGTTGGGGGTACGAATTGGGAAAGTGGAGTTGCAAAACACGGCGAAGCACGTTGAAAGTGCAAAAGACGTTGTGAACCGCACACTCACCCGCTTGGCTCTGGCAGCAGCAATGCTGTCTCGATTGTTTGCCTCGTACGCCCTCACCTCCGCCTCTGTTGCCGCCGCATCTATCCCCTCCACTAACCGAAACACTGAGAAGGGACGGAGGGGGAGTGTGGGGAGAGGGAGCAGCGAGACGGCAGAGTAAAGAAGGGGAGAGGACAAAAGCATTGCTCGACTCATACACCCTCACCTCCGCCTCTGTTGCTGTCACATCAATCCCTTCCACTCCACCAGCCGGGACACTAGTAAGGAAGGGGTGGGAGGAGGGTTAGCAAAGGGGACGCCTTACCCGTGCTACAGATAGTAGATGCACTCGCGTGCGTGCTACAGATAGTAGATGCACTCGCACAGGGACGGCGAGAAGCGACAGTCACCCAACGCACCTGCCAATCACTCATCACCAGTACCCCTCCCCTCACTCACTCACTCACCACCAGTACCACCCTCACTCCCTCACCTATATCCTCCACGCGCCGCAGATAGTCGTTGTACTCGCGCAGAGAGCAAGGCACGTGTCCTTCACTCAGTATCCTCTCCCCCCTCTCCCCCCTCTCCCCCCTCTCCCCCCTCTCCCCCCTCTCCCCGCACGCAACAGTAACCTCCACGTGCCCCAGATAGTCATTGTGGTGGGATTGATTCGTAGGGATGGAATTTCGTCCCGCAGCTTGTTGTATCTGGTGGACGGAGAGGGAGGAACGAATCAATCACCAGCAGCGCACCCTCTCACTGAACTGAACATACATACACCACCGCTCTTCACCCCTCAATACCAGCCTGCACCAGCACTCCCTCACCTATATCCTCCACGTGCTCCAGATAGTCGTTGTACTCGCGCAGAGAGGGAAAATCGTCCTGTAGCTTGTTGTATCTGAGGGGGGGAGATGAGGGGTAATGAGTGGAAAAGGGTGTCGAGGCGCGAAGAGGGGCAATGAAGGGTGGATAATGCGTGAAAATGCAATCCATTAACAAGGATGCACGCGCCTCCATATCACGCATCACACGAATACAAATACCTCCATGCCTCCTCTGGTCTGGAACCCATGCCGAACCATACCGTCTCCCAATCACATGCCCGTTAACCATCATTCAGATTGCACGGTGACTTTTGAGTCGACTCAAAAGTCATGCCGAACCATACCGTCTCCCAATCACATGCCCGTTAACCATCATTCAGATTGCACGGTGACTTTTGCACTCACATAAACTTCACCACGTGAGAAGCACCAGCCAGTCACCATCACTCACATGGCCTATCACCATCACTCAAATGGCCTATCACCATCACTCGCATGGCCTATCACCATCACTCACATGGCCTATCACCATCACTCAAATGGCCTATCACCATCACTCGCATGGCCTATCACCATCACTCGCATGGCCTATCACCATCACTCACATGGCCTATCACCACCACTCACACGGCCTATCACCATCACTCACACGGCCTATCACCATCACTCACACGGCCTATCACCATCACTCACACGGCCTATCACCATCACTCACACGGCCTACCAACATCACTCTCACGGCCTATCACCATCACTCACACGGCCTATCACCATCACTCACACGGCCTACCAACATCACTCTCACGGCCTATCACCATCACTCACACGGCCTATCACCATCACTCACACGGCCTATCACCATCACTCACACGGCCTATCACCATCACTCACACGGCCTATCACCATCACTCACACGGCCTATCACCATCACTCACACGGCCTATCACCATCACTCACACGGCCTATCACCATCACTCACACGGCCTATCACCATCACTCACACGGCCTATCACCATCACTCACACGGCCTATCACCATCACTCGCACGGCCTATCACCATCACTCGCACGGCCTATCACCATCACTCACACGGCCTATCACCATCACTCACACGGCCTATCACCATCACTCATATGGCCTATCACCATCACTCGCACGGCCTATCACCATCACTCGCACGGCCTATCACCATCACTCGCACGGCCTATCACAATCACTCACACGGCCTATCACCATCACTCACATGGCCTATCACCATCACTCGCACGGCCTATCACCATCACTCGCACGGCCTATCACCATCACTCGCATGGCCTATCACCATCACTCGCATGGCCTATCACCATCACTCGCATGGCCTATCACCATCACTCGCATGGCCTATCACCATCACTCGCATGGCCTATCACCATCACTCACATGGCCTATCACCATCACTCGCATGGCCTATCACCATCTCTCACATGGCCTATCACCATCACTCGCACGGCCTATCACCATCACTCACACGGCCTATCACCATCACTCACACGGCCTATCACCATCACTCACACGGCCTATCACCATCGCTCACACGGCCTATCACCATACCCCACACTGCCCTCATAACAACTCACATGGCGTGGATTCGTTTCCGAACTGCCATCTCCTTGCCCAGCGCCCCCCCCGCTGCGCTCATGCCTGCCGTCTGCTGCAGACGGCCGCTAGTGCTGACGGCCGGGCTGACGGCCGGGCTGACGGCCGGGCCAGGTGGTGTGGCGGGACGTGCGGATGCGAGGCGACGATGGGATAAACTGAGAGAGTGAGCGGGCGTCCCGCTGCCCTCACTGCCGCTCGCTGGCGGGTGTTCCTGCTAGGACCGCTGATAATACGGTCTGTAGATGCGACGTGTCGATGCGGTACGACACGGTACGGCGTGGTACGGCTATCGTGGAACACGAATGCTGGCGGTTTCAATGAGACATGAGCGGGTGGGAGTCCGCGACTTCCCGGACCAACTTGTGGGATGAACCGTGAGGCTCATGGGCTCATCGCGGCTGCTCCAGTCGATGCGTGCGGCTGGACTCACCAAGTTCGCGAATTTCTCAGTAAGTCTCAAGATTCGCCTTAAGTGACTCGATTCGCTATCTCCTTTCGCTACTTCGTTTCGAAAAACTCGTCATCTGCCCATTCGCTCGACGTGCATTCCACGGGTGGCTCTCTTGAAACCACGGGTGAGGATGAGCCTAACTCCCGTACGTTGGTCTGACGAAGGCGATTACGCCGAAACTAGTTACCACCACGAAGTGGTGCTCCTTGAAACCACGGGTGAGGATGAGCCTAACTCCCGTGCGATCTAGTGAGCTCGGCTGTGCTTTTCGAAAAGTTCCAGGTCGGTCTCCTAATACCACGCGTGACAAACCAATATCGTTTCCGATCTACTGAGCTCGGCTGTGCTTGCCGTTACGCAACCAGAACGTGCTATCGCCACTCACGCGACCAGAGCTACAGCGTGGAGAGCGGAGAAAAAATCGCGAGCCAGGGGAAAAGTGGTATGAAGCTGATAGTCCCTGTGGAGTGCGATCCGTTCTGCGGCCGTACTTGCCTGGTATGTTGTTGAGAATGACCAGTTGTACGCGTTTCCAGAATTTCGCTTCACGATACTTGTCTCCTTTACACATTCTGAAATCTCACACGGACGCTAATTCATTTTCCAGAATTTATTCAACGTAGAGCGCTGGAAATTTTCACTTCTGGCTTGAATTATGAACAGGCTTATCTCACCGATTTTGTTGAAAGAGAACGACGAACTTTCTTATATGTGAATTAGGTTTGTCAAACCTGACTCCACAGCCGGCCGGCCAGCCTGTCACTCATCCAAGCTGAGCTACCAAACCAAGCCAAGCAAGATACCTGATATCCACGATTTCATTCCAACAATACCCCGAGCCATGACCTCCAATCCAGATTCCGCTCCCTCCCTCAAAACCTCAACTACGGTAAGCTTCCAGCCACTTCCCCTTCAACAAACATCCCCTAACTCCTCAACTCCCACCACTTCCTCTGTTCCTTCTTCTCTCCCATGCACCACCACCACGCCTCTACAGTCAACCACCAACCAAGCCAATCAATGAACACCTCATCCCTCTCCCCACATGCCACAACGCCGAAACCAAAGCTTCAAAACAGCGACAGTGGGTGCAGTGCAAGTCTCCACTAAACATCCACATCGCTGGTCCTGCCCCCATGGCACCACCACCAGTGCGCCATCTCCTTTCCTCTTGTCCCCTTCGCACCAACTCCTCCCCTCCTCCCCTCTTCCCCTCCTCCCCTCCTCCCCTCCTCCCCTCTTCCCCCTGATCCCTGATCTCTGCACCCTTGCTTCGCAGTGGCATGGCACTCTTCCCCTAATAGCCGCCAAGCCCACTACCTTGCCCCTTCCCCGTCTGTCCCCCATAAACCCCAAACCCCAAACCCCGCAACCCAGCTATCACCCCCTCCCCTACCCTCTCCATTCTCACCCCCCCTTCCCCTTCCATCCCCTCCCCATTCCCCTACCCTCCCCCCCCTCATGGCGCATCAGTACCGCCCGTCCTGGGGGAAGGGCAGCGGAAGCTCCTCCGCTTTGGCGCAGAACTCCTCTAGGCGGTAATACTCGCGCTCCTTAGACCCTTAAAACCCCGAACCTCGCCATCCTGCCATTCCCTCCTTCCCCCTCCTCTCCCGCTCCCCGCGCATCAGTACCGCCTCTCCTGGGGGAAGGGCAGCGGAACCTCCTCCGCGTTGGCGTAAAACTCCTCACACTAGGCGGTAATACTCGCGCTCCTTAGGCGTGAACAGATGAACTACCACGTCGCCATAGTCTAGTAACGTCCACGCGCTTCCCCCGCGGCCGCTCCCGCCGCTGTTCCCCCGGTCTCCGCCCTTCTGCTCGCGCGCGAACCGCGGCGACTCCGCCACGTCGCGCATGCGCTTCGCTATGGCGTCCATCTGCGCGCGCGAGAACGCGGTCGCTATAACGAAGTACTGGGTCCAGTACACGAGCGGCCGCACATCCAGCACGATAATGTCACCCCCTTTAGCGTCACTCGCGGCGACCGCCAGCGCGATCGCGAATTCCTCGCTTGCCTCGTCCGAATCCGGCGGGAAACGCGGCGCGGCGGAAGCTGCTTCCGCTGCTCGGGACGCAGCGACTGCGCTGCCGACTGCAACAACCCCGTTAATAACACCCCCGCTACCGTCATTCTGCTCATCTTCATCCCCGGTATCATCCTCTTCTCGTACAAGCTTGTACCCAGCGCTGCTGGCGCTCGTATCCTCTTTAAGAGTCTTCCCGTATTTATCAAAGAGCTCGTCTAGTTCCTCCTCGTCCCACTCCTCGTCCGACCATGCGCGCTTTCCCCCTGCCTCTCCGCTTTCGCTTCCGCGCTTCTCCAGCTCCGCCGCGAGCAGCTCTTCTTCCGCCAGCATGGCGGCTAGCAGCTCCTCGTCTATCTCCTCATCTTCCTCATCCTCATCCTCGCTATAGGCCTCTTCATCCTCGTTATACGCCTCCTCGTCCTCAGTGTACACGTCCGCCGCGGCTTTCTTGGACGAATCTTTTCCGCTGGCAGAATTTCTGCTTCCGCCATTCCCGGCAAAAATAGCGGATGATCCGCGTACCCCCGCTGTTCTAGCGGAAAACGTTCTTAAACCCTGGAATGGGTGGGATTCGGGGTTTGAGATGGATCCATGGCGCTGCGGCACCCAGCAGACTTGACACGTGGGAGGGCTTCTTTGCCGAGCGCCCCGCGAGCGTTGCGAAGTCGGAAACGATGTCGCGAATGGCGTCGCGGCGGCGATCCTGAGCGCGGTAGACGGCAGCGCGGCTGCCATTGAATCGATTAAGTACCGCCAGAAGCAACAGGTCAGGGTGGGGAAACAGCTCAAAAGATTCTTTTTATAATTTAAAAGAGGTTCGGAGATTCGGAGCGAATGTGACGTGGTTGTACGTTGCGCAAATAGAGAGAACCAGAGTGATTTGGGGAGTAGCTTAAAGCCGGCAGCCCAAATTGCACAAGTTTTAAAAGGTTGACGCGAGGGGGTTTTTGTGGTGAGGGTTTTGGCGAAAGATTCCGATTTCGCTTTTTTCGTTTTTTTCGCCAAACCCAGCCCGCCCTCGTATTTCGCCCTGGGGGTTGGTTCAGTTCCCAAAAGTCCCAAATTGCAGGCACGCTTTTCTTCAAACCTTGAAAACACTAGTTCGTCAAGTTTTAAAAGCTTGACCCGCGCGGCCCGCAATTTGGGACTCGGGCTTTAATACGTCACAGCGTC